CACATGATTTTTTCCTATCCTCTTGCTAACATGAGTCCAATGACACACTCCTAACCTGCCACTAGTTCTGTGAAGGTAAGAGATCTTCTGTTTTGTCTGTGTGAGTCATAAGGCAAAGCCAAACCAGTGTGGGCTCTTGGAGCTGGTAAAGGGCAGTGCAGCCTCTCCCTGCACTGTTAGCTAGCACAGGAATGAGCCAGGTCACCAGAGTTAGGACATTTGATTTGGAGTCATGGTATGGAGTGTTTACAGATCATTATTCTGGCAGTGGTTTAAAATGATGCTGCTGCAGCCACCAGGGTTTGCTAAAAGCTTTGCAAGGGGCATGTTATTCCAGCAGACTCTGGGACATCCCTGTGTGTTTTACAAGCCCAGGTGTAATTCCATGTATCCATGGGCTGGCTCATGGGAGGAATAGAGACTGTGCCAAGCTCTAGGTGTGCTTGGAGGGCACTCAGCAAGCTGCAGAGCAGGATGGAGTGCCAAGAGCTGTCTGTGCTGGAGCTTGGGAGTGAGACACTCTGCCAGGGTCGTCGTGGTGGGTGGGTGAGGGAGCAAACCTTGTGGGATGGTGCTGAGAGAGCTGTGTGTGCCCATGCATGTGCCAAACATCTTCCATCTCTCCAACAATGGTAGCTGTGGTGTCCCCAGGCCGTGAGGCAGCGCCGAGCTGTGTTGGTTCATGTGTTGTAAACACCTTCCCTGGCATTTTGGTTTGCATTTCTTTGCCCTCCCTCTCCTGCCCATTACTCCATGTGTGGTGGTGGTTTCCATCAGAGTAACATTCCTTGTGTAATGAGTCCTTTTCATGCTGGGTGATGCCTGGGGAGGTGGAGCTGGATCAGTGACACTCTTCTCTTGTGTTTGTAGGTGTGCAGAGGGATCCAGGCCTGTTCCCAGCTGCAGCTCTTGGGAAAGGAGATCCTGGCAGGGATGGACTCGCTCTGTACAAGGGGCAGTCTGAGATGCTGGAGGGGAAAGCACAGCACAACTCAGAGTCAGACTACTTAGCCAGAGATGGTCCTTCAAGCAACAGCTCCTTCTACAGCAGCGAAGGAGAGGGGACAGACCACGAGGGAGACATCCTGGACTGCAGTGGCTCCAGACCTTTGCTGATGGATTCGGAGGAGGAGGAGGAGACCTGCAAGCTGTGCCCAGGGTTCCTGCAGCCTGTGCCCGGGGAGAGGCAGGAGGCTGCCCAGTGCCAGGGCAGAGCAGAGGAGATGCTGTTCCCAGCCTTCCAGTCCCACACCGGGGAGGTGTTCAACGAACCAGACGTTTTCGCCACGGCTCCTTTCCGCAGCTCCAGGAAAGTGCCTGAGGAGGTGGATGTCTTCACCAAGGCTCCTTTCATCTCCAAGGGCAACGCTGCTCTACGGCTCCCAGAAGAAGCAGACGTGTTCCTGAGAGCTCCTTTCACCAAGAAGAGGAGCATGGAGGAGCTGACATCCCACAAGGAGCACTTTGCTCCTCCTGCTCTGCTGGGCCAAGGGAGCGATGGCCAGCACAGAGCTCACCCCGCGACCTCGGCGAGGTCTCCGTATCCTCCTGCTGGTTTCACTCAGCCAGGAAACCTCCAGGTGTGCCCAGTGAGGGCTGTGGAGGCCCAGGAGAGCAGCCCTGCCAAGGCAGTGCCACAGGAGCAGGACGAGCACGGCCAGGGCAAACCGTTCCGTCCGCAGGCTCTGTCCAAGTATTCCCGTCACTACAGCCCCGAGGATGGGCCTGGCCTGGAGGCCAAGCCCATAGCTGCTTACAAAGTGGTGTCTCAGACCAACAGGCAGGCCATAGCAGGCTCTGTGTCTGTTGCTGCCTCGCTGTCTTCCAGGACTACGGAGCTGCCCGGCGCGGATCCCTTCGCCTCGGCGCCCTTCCCTTCCAAAGTGGGAAAGCAGAAGCCTTAAGGAGGATGGAGCTGGGGCTGTGCTGCCTGCAGGGCCTCCTGGAGCCTCCTGCTTGGCATAGCAATATCTGTTGGAAATAAGGAGGAGTTTGCTCAGGATTCTGCAGTTGGCCCAGCCTGAGTTCTGTCAGCCCGAGCTCCTGGCTCTGAGGACCTTGACATCCTTTCCAGCTGCTTCTCACCCTCCTCCTCCTCCTCCTCCTCCTCTCACTGTCTGCCCCCTCCCCATGTATTTTTGATGCTTTTCCAAACCAGTAGTATTCCATATTTTCTGGTCCAGGCTGGATTATAAGATGAATTAAAAGGTTTATGAATTACAGAGCAAGTCAAGCAGGACTTGCTAGTGCTCTGGAAGGGACACGATTTCACAGGGGGAAGGATTGCTGTGACTCCTTTGCTGGCAGTGCAGGGCTGGCACCCCTGGCAGCTGTGGCTTGGGGCTGTGCTGGGTGATGCCCACCGAGCCAGAAGCTGCAGGTGATGTCTGGTGCCAGTTTGTCACAATCTGTGTCCCCAGGGTGTGATGGGAGTGCTGCTGGAGGGGCCTGGGGGCACTCAGTGCCTTCAGCCCCACGAGCTCCCAACCATGGGGACTGAGCTCTCCAGCTGCTCCTCCTGCTGGAAATGACCCTGAGAACAATCAGGAAAAGCTTTGGCTCTCACACGTGTGTTCCTGCCAAAGTCACCTGGAAACCTGGTGGTGGTGTGAGGGAGAGATGTGTTTGCAGTGTTAACAGCACACCCTGTGGGGAAGGTGATGATGCAAACAGCTCCATCGCTGTCCTGATGTCCCTTCTCGTGCTGTGGCTTGGCAGCAGCACAGTTTCCTTCCTCTGGGTTGTGCTGGCACAGACAGAGCTTCTCTCAAAGTCAATCCTGCCTGTTGCCTTCCTGTTGATCAAGGGCGAAGCTAAACAAAACCCACTCCTTGGGTAGTGTTTGCTCTCCTTGCAGGGAGGATGTTTTCTAGCCTAATCCCAAAGAGAAGGCCAAGTGCTTGCAGTGTGCTCAGTGAGGGAGGGCCCTGGGGAGCAGGAATTGCTGAGCCCAGCTCAGCTGGAGATGTGTGAACTGGGAGAATCACTGAGTGCCAGTGCATAGTTGGTGCTTTAGGGGTTTTTTTTCTGTCCTCCACCACCACCTTGAAAACAGAAGTACTGTAAAGAAGTTTCCAGGTTTCCCTTGAGATGTTCCTTCAGCAAAGCTGAGGCTGTTGTTGTGTTTTGTTGTCATTTAGTTTGCTGTTTCCATATCCCCCCAGAGGTGGCTGGTTTTGTTGGAACCCCCCAAGGCAGTTGTGTTGGGTGGGACTGTGACAGTCAACTGTGAATTCGAGGGCACAGATTTGTTCTAGCACCAACCTGAGCCAGGGCTGACCTTGGCCTCGAGCTCTTCAGCCCTGGCAGAAGCTGTTGGGAGGGAGGTCAGGCCTTGGCAGTGTGGGATGAAGCTGTGGTGCCATGTGTGAGCACAGTGTGGGGTCAGCCTGTTACCTCTGCTCGCTGGATTCAGGTTCTCCTTCCTGCCCCTCCTATTTACTTGAAAAACAGAACAATTCTGTGAAGCTTCTGTCAGTGCCACGTCCAGGTCCCACCGAGCTGATGCTGGAGGAGCAGGATTAGCCTGTGCCCTTTGTGCCCAGGGAAAGGGAAGGTACACCGAGGTGTCTGGGCTGGTTTCCAGCCCTGTGAGGTTGGGTCAGGCTGAATTTCCAGCTGGCATTTTGGCAGCTTTTCTGTCCTTCAAGCACTTTACCCAGAGAGCAGGCTAAGCATGCCCCAGAGCTCACAATCCTGCCAGACACATCCAGTGATTCTCAGTCTCTTTTTGGGGGGAGGCAGCTCATTTATCTCAGCATGTGACCTCTAACTGAATGGGACTTCTGGTTATGGTCAGAAAACTCCATTTCAATGCCTGGTACTGTGATATCCTTCTCATTTCCAGCCTGTGTCCCCCCCTAATCCTGCACTACCACTGTGTGATGAGTTGTAAGTGGGAAATTTCACTTCCACAGTCTCTGAAACTTAACTGTTCTCAGGAACGAGGAAGAATCTGTTCATGGGGAAGAATCATGTGAATTATCTGCCACACAACCAGTGATCCTAACAAAGTGAGACCAGTACAGCCTCAGCACAGTGTTTGGAATCAGTTTTCTGAGCAGAACCAGAAACCAGGTTTCTGCTGGGAGAGGGACTTGGGCCTCACCCACTGGGTGCACTTCAGGTCTCTTGTCAAAGTGATAATCAGAGTTTCACTTTTCAAAGTGATTATCACTTTTCAGCGAGAGCTGCTGAACTGCTGAACTCTTAATCACTCCAAAGTGGTAATTGGTGACTTTAACTCAGCTTCCACCAAAGACTCTTGTTGTTGGGGAGTTGAATTTTTGTGGGTGTTTGTTTGTTTTGTTTTGTTTTCCTCGAGGCCTTTCACACACACCGACAGGCTCCAAAGCATTTGGACAAGTAGTTTCACCACAGAGCAATCTTGTTCCCCTTCTGAAACACATTCCTGACACCTGATCAGCTGCATTAGTGTTTCTCAAAATAAGCCACGGCCTGTAGCTTCCCTTGTAGGTGGGTAAATACCCTCACACACCTAGAATTATTCCCTGTGACCTCAGAGGGAGGATGATGGTGATGATGATGATGATGATGATGATGATGATCCAGTGTTCCCTGGTCCCTCCTCTCCACAGGAATGGGATGGGAGGGCAGGAGCTCACTCTGCTGTGGGATGCAGTGGGTAGAGTGTGTTACCTGCTCCCTCCTCTCCACTGGGATGGGGTGGGAGGGCAGGAGCTCACTTTGGTATGGGATGCATTGGGTGGAGTGTGTTCCTGATCCCTGCTCTCCACTGGGATGGGATGG